ATGTTTTATATATATATATATATATATGTTAATGTACTATATACAGAAATAGAAGTACAGGAAAAACTGTAATTGTTTAGATAAATGTAGAAGTAGGGATGGGAAGATTCCCCGATTTGCTCGGTGCATCGGCATAAAAAGTTAACGATGCGATGCATTGGTTTAAAAAGTGTGTATCGGCTACAAGTTGGCATTTGTATCACGATGCATCGTTTTTGATGCATTTGCATCGGTAAAAAACGAATGAAAAAAGTGGATGCGCTATATTTTTATTGTTTAGAAAGTTACCAATAATCTGTGACCAGTATTTTATATGTAGATTGATTTCTCCTTTCTAAACTGTTTCTCAAGTGCGTTCTCTCATCACTGCTGCTGGAATATGACGCATCACAACAAAACTATGGAGACTGAGGCGCGTCCTGAGAGTCACATAGAATATAGATTAACATGGCTCTAGATGGAGATCCAACTATCTGTACTATATTATGTATAGCATCATATATATATTTTGTTTCCATTGCACCGTTTTGCATTGAATCGCATTGTGTTGAATCTAATGAAAATCAGATCACACTGCATCGTAATGGGGTGAATCATATCGCATTGCACCGGTAGCTATTTCATATTTATCTTTAATGCATCGTATTGTTGGATATGCATCGAGATGTGTATCACATCGGCGTCAGTTATGGAGATGAACATCCCTGATCTATCTGTCTGTTATCTTGTCTATGTAAAAGCTCTTTGAATTACCACTGTGTCTAAAATGTGCTACAGTATAAATAAACTTGCCTTGCCTAAGTTCATAATAATATCGGATAACCTACATTTTTAAATAAAATGTTCCTGGTTCAGGCTTATTTAGGGCTGTGTAATACCACAATGTCCGACTACCACAAATATTTTTGTCTTTCTCTTTGTCTGTTTTATATTTTTTTTCTTTTGGGTCCAGGTCTTGATTTCTCCTTTCTAAACTGTTTCTCAAGCGCATTCTCTCACCACTGCTGCTGCGTGATTGTGACGCATCACAACACCACAGAGACCCGAGGAAAAACTGGGATCAAAGTCCAAAACCTGACTTGAAATAACCTAACAAATCATTCAGGGCTAAAGCAGTTCCATAAATGACAAATTAAATTCACACAATCTCACTAATTTGTGCACGCTTTTATTCTTAATGTCGATCATGGATCAAATCGATCCACCATGACAAATAGCGAATATATCTGTGCTGTTTAATGCATTTGAGACGTTATGTTTTCCTCAGTGCATAACTGACATGTCACAGGTATATTTTTCATCTGAAGAAAGTCACGCAAACATATCCACTTTGCTGTCAGGAGTGGGCAAGTGAACGATTGCTGCTGTGCGCGCGCACTAAACAGAGAGAGTGCAATCGAATAGTAAAATATACATTTTACTAAAATATTTGTAGTTGGACAGTAAATGTGTCTTTGTAGAATTTTAAACCTACATATAAGTGTATTTTTATGATAGCAGTAACTATGAAGGGACTATTGTAATGGGTAAATCAAATGTAAGACCAGGTTAGTTTCCCAGCATAAGTTGCCACAGTGACTAGCTTGATCTAGGCCCATGTTAAATTTGCTTTATGGAACCAAATAATTTGACTATGAGTCAGACTAACTGAAATAAACCTGGCTTATTTGGTAAACTTGTTTTATGAAACAGGCCTCTAGGCATTAGAAGGGATCATATTTTTCCATTGCATCATATTGCATCGAATCGCATTGTGTTGAATCGAATCGGAAATGGATCGCACTGCATCGTAACAGGGTTGAATCGTATTGCATCGCATCAGTAGCTGCTTCATATGTATCTTTAATGTATCGTATCGTTGGCTATGCATCGAGATGCGTATCGTATCGGCCTCAGTCATGGAGATGCACATCCCTATGTAGAAGTATAGGAAAAAAAATGATTGTTTAGATAAATATACAGATATGTTATTAGTGTGCAGATATGTTATTTACAAGTATGCAGTTTAATATAAATATGTCAGATAACTATGTTAGTTGTGATGGACTATGTATAATTATGAAGAATTAATTGTTCAGGCTGAATATAGCCTGCGGGAAAAAACTGTTCTTGTGCCTGGCTGTTCTTGTGGTCAGTGCTCTGTAGCGCCGACCAGAAGGCAACAGTTCGAAGAGAGAGTGTGCTGGGTGTGAGGGGTCCAAGGTGATTTTTTTAGCCCTTTTCCTCACTCTGGAGATGTAAAGATCTTGGAGGCTGGGCAGAGGGGCACCAATAATCCTCTCAGCAGTCCTGACTGTCCGTTGTAGTCTTCTGATGTCTGATTTGGTAGCTGAACCAAACCAGACAGTTATGGATGAACACAGGGAGACTCAATGATGGCGGAGTAGAACTGTTTCAGCAGCTCCTGTGGCAGGTTGAATTTCCTCAGCTGGCGAAGAAACTACAACCTCTGCTGGGCCTTTTTAGCAATGGAGTCTATGTGAGTGTCTAGTGTTGTCAAAAGACCCGGTATTTCGGTACCAAGTCGGTACTAAAAAAATGAAAACGTTACGGTACCAGGTTTTCTTAAGTACCGGTGGTACCGACTACCCGGTCAACCCGGTTCTTGATGCACTATCAGAAAGCTATCCTCTTCCAGTGTTGCCAAGTCCGCGGTTTTCCCGCGGAATTGGGTTGCTTAACACTGTTGCCGCGGGTTGTTTTTCATGTCCGCGGGTTGAAAAACGACCGCATTAACGTGATATTTAGCTCCTGGAATGCGAATTTTACCAGGGGAACCCCGCCAAAACATGCGTATTTTATCCTCGGAACGCG